GCATGTTCCTGGCTTATCAATGGGAAGTAAAACACTGCAGTGTGAGAGCTCCAAGAAAGGCCATGTCCTGGAGCGGTGTAATTGGTGGGAGCAGGGGCTGCAGAGGCGATTACAAGATAAGCAGGCTCTCCCACTTCTAAAAGCTTGACAGCTACCAGCAGCTGGCAGGAGTGTTTCAGCCCTATATGGCTCTCATTAAAAGAACCAAATGGAGAAAAGAAACATGACTTCGATGGACCTTACAAAGCCTTTCTGGAGGCAGGATCGCAGTGGTCTCATCCTTGCAGCCACCCCTTTGTTTCTCTCTGAAGATCCCTAAGAAAGTGCTTTCCCACAGTTGGAGTCCAGCACTAAGAAGAAGCTGCTCTGCCCCATAATGCAGGCAGCCATCGCTGATGTTGTCTCCCTGTGAGCTGGGGCTCTTCCTGTGTAAGGCTTTCACTTGGCACATGGTGCAAAGCATTAGATGTGGAAAGAGCAAAGTGTGTGGGAGCTGCTGATTTCATCTCCTTGGTGGGACTGGCTTTTTTAATAGCAAGATGAGCTGTGGCACTTCCTTGAAAATATGACAATCCATGGGAGAGTTCATTAGCTTATGGCAAGTCGCAACAGCGTGGCAGCTATCTGAAAGCAAATGTTACTGCAAAGAGTTACCATTAAGGGGAGAGGAAAACGTGTCCTAAGGAAATCAACTTCATGGAGCAATATAAAGCTGTAGAGACAAGCAATAGAGTTGAATGCTTCCTCAGAATAAAAGCTTCCTGTTAACTAGTTTTAATGCCAATGATTGCTCTCTGCCTATTTAATGAACACATGGGACACATCTGCTCAGGACTGTCTCTAAGAGGACTAACAAATATCATGACTTCAGCTGACTGAGCTTTTTTTATCACCGTTACACAAAATGTCTTTGTGATCACACAGAAATTAAAGGACAGGTTGGATGTGGCCTTGGGCTGCCTGATCTGGTGGCTGGCAGTTCTGCCTATGGCAGAGAGGGATGATCTAGATGATTTTTAAGGTCTTCTCCAACTTATGCCATTCTATCATTTATGACCATCATCCAATATTGATAACAGCATTAAGAGCAAAAATTGGCTTTGGCTTTTTTAGAAAGCAGTGTGTTTTAATTTCAAGTGTTATGGAATTATATCTCTAAACGGACTTTTCTCTGCAAACTTAATCTAGATTTACACTGCTGGTTTTCTTATTTTTGAGTCTATCTAACTTGCATCAGTGGCAGAAAATGCAGTACCAGGTTTGGCGAAGCGTGAAGGTGAATTCAGGATAATCCATCATTATCTCAGAGTCTCATGCCAGTCACCACTGTGCAGAGGATTCCAGTTTTACAGCGTCAGGGCTTTCCTTGTGCTTTTCCCTTTACTGGGGAATATGTTGCTCCAAAGTCAAAGCAAAACAAGATGTTTCTTGAGAAGCTTTGTTGTAGCCAACCCTGCTGCCATGGTGAGTAGCACCCTGTTCCATATACTTCATGGCTTGGGAGAAGGGTTCTGTTCTTCACTGCTCTGGATCAGTCTTGGACTGCTGCTTGGACCCCATTCTGCATATGCATGTATCTGTCTGTGAAGTAGAGGGTGACCCTTCATTGTTTTCCTCTCTTTCACCCTCTCACTCATTCATATTTGACCCTAGGTTCCTGTCTGAATTGTTGTTTGTTGCAGTGTGATCCTGCTCCCCTGCCTGAGGAGCTTGCTGGCATTCTGGTGACAGTGCAGCCTCTGGTTTTTGCGCTGGTGACCTCAGAAATAGGAGACCAACTTCTTGAATGAGATGCCTGAGGAGCCTGAGATAGGTCAGAGAGGAGTTGGATGGATCAAAAGACAGAGATGTTTCTCTGACAGCCCTAGGTCTCCCTGTCATGATTTATGAATTACATACAGTCTATGTGTTTAGCAAAAGAGGCTCAGTGGGGAAACAGGAACTGGTTTGTGCAAGCAGGAAAGAGCATGCAGCTTCAAAGAGCCACCATCCAAAAAGAGATACCACCTCCAGCTCTCTGTGGAGCCATCAGGGTGCCATGTAGGAAGCAGCGAAATAGATGGCAGAAAACATCAGGATATGTTAATGGGCCATCATTTTAATGGGAGATGGTTACAGGAAAATAGAGACCAAACTCAGAAGCTGGGAGCTGTGGACTCAAAGCAGCGCATGTGATTTTCCCTCTCTGAAAAGCTGGATGTTGGGTTATGAGCCAGCTACAATACATGCCATGGGACACTGAGTTGTGTGGCCCACAGCCTGGTGAGAGGAGAAGGGTGACCATCCCCTGAGCAAGCAGGCAGGAGGTCTGTGCTCCCATCGAGTTCTGGGCAGAGACAGCTGAAAAGGTAATGGAGAAGTGGGAATGGCATTGGATAGTACTGTGAGGATAGAATAGGCCTCTCCAGTACCACATCCTGAGGTAGGATTGCAAGCCATGAGAGAACATACTTGCTGAAATTCCGGGGCAAATGTTTCCCTAGGAAAAATCCTAATTATAAATTTGAAGGCCGGAGCATTACAGCGTGCACAGTGCAGTAGCCCCATATCCAACCTATGACATTGGATGGGTGGTGATCTACCTAGGAGATAGTCTTGCAGTTATCAAAGGCTTTGAGCAACAAAAGCCTACTGTGTTCTGAGTCTGAGTAATTATCTGCTGGAGTAACTTTGCTACGTTGTGATCTAACACAAAACCACCTATTTTCAGCTTCCAGCATGTGAATCTTGCTTCTCCTTTGTCTGATGGAAGAGGAATTCCTCTGCCAGACAGAAGCTTTCTGGGAACTTTTTGTAGACCATGACTATTTCACCTCCCAGCTCCTAGCTGCTAAAGGCAGTAAAATATGTGAGCCTCCACTGTAGGACAGGTTTTCCCATCCTGAACAATCCTTGTATTTTTTGTTGGAGGTAGGAGGTGAAAAGGGGAATCAGGGAAATCCATGAGCTGAAATTTCAGGCATTTCTTAGGCTACAGCCTTTTTTTCCATTGCATATGGACCAAAGAAGTCAGATACACTGAGGACCATGCTGGTGATTGAAGAGTTGGGAATGGCCAGTGTGGATCCCACAGTTGTGTCTCAGCAGCCCTGGGGTGACCCCTTAGAGAATAACAAAGTCTCCGAGGACACTCAGTTGGCACTGGGAGATCTTTTCCAGGATAGCCAAACACCATCCGGCCATTTTCTCTATGGTAATTCCTAAATCTCTATGCTAAGAGGAGCTACTTTACTGCCGTCACCAAGCCACTGCTGTCGCTCTTTGCAGGGAGGCTGGGTGACTATGGGGATTTGCTGCTGGAAGAACAACTGAATGCATATTTTCAGCCATTTTGGGGAACTTGCTGTTCCCTCCTCTCTCAACGTCAAAGGAAAGTGGGCCCCCAGGGTGCTTTTACTGTCACAGAATTACTGTAATGTTGATATTAACACTGGACTCGATGGATGGGAGGTAGCTCCAGTAAACATATATCATTGTTGAACGAAATCAGAGAGAGAGCGCCTTGGCTTATTTTTTTTTCCCCATGCCGAGACAGATGCTGTCATCATATCACTCACGTAACCTTTCAAATGAACTTAGTAATCATGATATGTTTTGGTTTGGCTTCTTTCAGATTAAAACCCTGCCTTTTAGAAAAAGGAAACCATAAGTTAAATAACTCCAAAATTAGGTATTTCTGAAGGATAATTAGTGGTCTTCTTTCTTACCAAAAACAACCCAAGGCTGTGCTTTAAATAACACCTTCTAGTAATTCCTTCAGTGCTGCTCCAAATGTGATTAATTTAGCAGGATGTTATCAGTATAGCATCCTACACTTCAACCCATACTTTAGGGTATTATCTGCAGTAAGGACTGCTATGTATTTCTGCAACATTCTGAAAGTTGGCCTGACCTTATGTTGTAAATCCCCCTGCGTGGGGCTCTCTGCTTCAGAAGTCACAGCAAGAGTTTGCTCGCTACAAGGAAATTACCAACCAGCTGTATTCTTTCATTCCCCATTTCTGTAGATAGGGGGACCCATGGAAAGTGGACGCGGACACAGATCCCTGCCCCCCATTGTTTCAATTGGATGCAAATATATGGGCACTGTAACCCCAGGGCTTCATTGCTTTGAGCAAAAAGCAGTTTTAGTTGAATTGGAAATTCTGTACCAAGGGGAACAGGTCTGTATCTGGAAAGGGGCTCGCTGCAAAAAGGGAGCAAATATATAAATATATACTATATAGGGATGTATGTGTGTATACACATACATTGGGGCTGTATATACAGAACGGCACACACACATACTTAGGAGATGTGTATATAACACTCGCTCATATACAAATCTACTCCTTGTTATGAAACAATCATTGGGATATAAACAAGAGACTTTAAACCTTGGATGGGCACGTTTTCAAGTGCTGCTGGAGGGTTTTATCTGCAGTCCTGAAGAAGTGCTATCAAAACCTTAACAGGGTACTCGTTACAAAGAAATCTTTACGTAAGTGCTGGGAAGGTTTGCCGAAGAACCAGATGTTGTTGCAAGGACAGCTCTCCTCCCCCTCCCCACTTCTTTCCATCTTTAATAGTTCGATTAATGCTGCACATAAACCCGGGCTGATAAAACGTCACCACATCTGGACACTGTTGAAGCCAGATCATTTCACGGTGCGCTTCGGTCGCTTTTAATCTTCCTCAATAAAGTAAAAGCTTCCACCAAGTCATGCTGACCGACGTACAGACTTCTGCGCTGTAAACACTGACATCTGGGAGCTGCTCTCGGCGAGCACACAGCGGTCTCCGCCGAGCCAAGCGCTCGCCCTTCTCCGTAAGAGGAACGCACAGCTGATGCTATCGGAGCAGCACTGCGATCAGATCGCTGCAAAGCTCTCCACTATTCCCAACCCTCCACCTAATTGCTGTCAGGGGACAAGTCAACAATTTGCTGTTTTTCTGGAGCAAGGAAAACTAAACGACCTCTCTGCTTAACACTGCCCAAGTAGAAACATTTCTGTACTCACAGAAGGACAGCAGCAGCAAGGAAAGCAGATCCAGTCTCCTCCAGCAACCCATTTTCTGGATCCAGAAGCTTGGCTTCAGGGTGTTGACCCGTCCATCCTTCTTCCTCTCCGATGTCAACCCCACAGCCCCACATTCATGAGGCTGCAGGCTGGGAAGGCGGATCCAGGCACAGCGAACCCAGCTGTGCGTGGGGTCCGCCCAGGAACTGCAGCTCATGAACAAACTCAGCCCAGCTCTCCTTGTGAAATATATACAAATATGGGAGGGGGGGGGGAGCTGGGGGAAGAGCTCTGGCTCTGGGAAAAGTTTGGTTTTTCCAACTGTGGAGTTGAGCTGCTTTGAGCAGCCCAGGGAGCTGTAGAGGGGACCTTGTGTCTAGAAGTGGCATGGGCACAGCCACAGACTTCTTCTGTCTGAAGAAAACATGGAAAGGAACGCTTCAGTACTCTGAGCTGCCATTAATTCACTGTTTTTTCTCCTTTTAGAAATTGGCTCTACCCTATAAGTAAACTGCAGTGGGATATATCTTCAATAGGGATAACTGGAGAGTATACGGTAACTTCTACAGAAAGATGGCATCACCATGAGTTCAGCCCAAAATAGGTGTTTTCAAACTGCGAGTATCCTGATACATTTTACTGAATCAGAGCCTAAAATAATAACAGAGCATTTAAATAGCTTCTTTCACCCCAAGACCTCAAAGTTGCTTTACCAAAAAAAAAAAAAAAAAAAAAGGGAGAAATATTATCCCTCCTTACAAAAGTAAAACTGTGAAATACAGCAGAAATCTGACTGGCCTTGATTGTTCATTCAGTGGCAAAAGTAAAATCCTCACACACTTGTACTATATTCTGTCCTAATCCTTCACAGTATGCTGAGATAATAGTCATTATATTGGGGTGGAGCAGAGAAAGAGATTACACTGTTAAGATTCTTTTTTGCAGCCAGAATACCTGCCCTAAAGTAAGACTACTTTATTTTTTTTGTCAAAGTAATTGCCAAGTATAACTATTTCTTAGCATTCTAAGTCAGTAAGTCTTGTTTATACATTTGTTTTTTGGTTCATTAATCAGTGTGTGATGTATATGTGATGCATGTATGTTTATGCTTGCATATATGCTGGCTCATAATCAATGGGCTTCTGCTCAACTGGATTTGAAGTGCCTGTTCCTTTCTGTGCATGAATCTTTCTGATAAACTGCACCCACTTATTTTCTGTATTATTTATGTAAGATATGCTGTTAGGGGGTTAAATAACAGCATTTTTTTCCCTTTTTTTTTTTTTTTATGAAAAAGGAAAAGTGTTAGATGAGATGGCTCTCCTATGCCATGGCTATAGAAGCACGCCACTGCAGAGAGCTGCTTGGTCTGCTCCCATTCACACCGGAGTGCCCAGACACAAGCCTGTGCTCTGTAGAGAAATGGCCTTCTGTTCCTGGGATAACAGAAGCTACAGGGATGGCATAAGAGAAGAAACCACCTGGAGTGAGCAGAGCAGATACTTGGAAAAATGAGTCCAGAAGGGCGGCTTGCCTGACCAGGGAATCTGCTCATGTTCCTGGTCCTGGAGGACATTGGCTCATATCCTAAGAAAGGTCCAGAATTGATTTCCGTCACCTACTTTTCTTTAAATCAGGTTGGGCATCTTCCTACGTGCTAAGTAGCATTAACATAGAAGGGATGGGTTGGACTGTTATAACCACTGGTGAATGGCTGTTTGGGAATAAGGACAAGTAAATGTTTAGTAAACTTTGAGAAAGACACTATTTTCCAATCAGCATATTGAAACTGCAGTTTGCATTGGTGACCTGCCAGCTCTCTTGCAGTATTTCAACATGCCCATGGACCACTCAGGCTGCCAGCTGGATTTTCAAGTCTCAGCCCTTTTGCATGTAATGAGGAAGCTGGGTAAGGCTTTTGCTGTGAATGCTGCAGATTATTCATGATCAGTGGCAGCCCTCTTTAAATTCAGAAAGGATCCACTGCCATGCCAGGAAACTTGGAGAGGTAATGTCCCCAGCAGGAGACAAAACATGCCTTGCATTGTGGAAGTGCAAGTGCAAGGGACTGGAGTGCTGGATATTATTATTTGAACTGCAGAACCTGGGAGGGCAGCAGGAATGCTGTGCAGTTTCCCTGCAGCCAGGTGCCCAAGCCATGGGCAGGAGGGAATTGTCCATGTGCCCCAGTGTATGCAGACAGCTGCTGGGCCAAACAGAACCCTATAAGATGTTTCTTCTTTTATGAAGAATAATCTTAGGGAAATATTTGTGTCTTGAGCACAAAGAATCATAGAATCATTAAGTTTGGAAAAAACCGCTAAGATCATCAAGTCCAACCCCGAAGTAAGTAAGATGCTGAAGAGCCACAAAAGGTAAATTGTTACTTTTATTGTTGACTTGCTTATGCCTTTTGGTGTAAATTCTCCTGCTTCTCTGTTAGTGACCTGGACAGCCTCATAACTCAAGACTTACTGAAGGTTGGATTTAAGCTGAGGAACATAAGGTTTCTGCAGGGTGATTTTTAAGTTGCATCTTGGGAGTAGTTTTCCTTAAGTTCTCATTGGAGCTGGAAGATATTTACCAGAAAATTAAAACAAAATTTTGGCCACCTGAAACAATATAGTCTGAGTTTCCACTGCGGGAGGCAGGAGTCTGCAACCCATCAATGGGTTTGAAGCTCCCAGCACGGGCACTAAACAAAGTCAAGATGGACTTTGCTAGAATCAGGTGAGTCAAACTTCTTATTCTCAGGGCCAAAGATATTGATTTGACAAGGAATATGAAGGGTGAGAAAGGGAAGAAGGAACCACATAGCTATAATCCACGATGCAGATGTGGATGTCAAAAAACTGAGCTTCTCTCCATGCCTGCTGGGACTCAGAGAACATAGGAGAGCATTGGTTTTAATGTCTGACTACAACAAAAGATGCTGAGTTTTCTTCTGCATCAGTAGATCTTCCCTTGACCCACCCAATTGCTTGCATGTTATGTGACTGGACTAATATCTGTTGCATTTGCTTAGTTCTTTTTTAAACTGTTGATATTTGTAGTTATCAGTATTGATGCATAAACTGAGTCCTGAGGCTTTAGATAAGTGATGGAACACCTCCCCATTCGAGGGCAAGCTGGGAGAGCTGGTACTGTTCAGCCTGGAGAACAGAACTTGAGGTTATGGAAACGCCACAGGCACTGGAAGACAGATGCAAAGCATACTTACTCTTCTAGTAGTTTTTGTTTAAATTCTCAGTAACAAATTGACAGCTGTTGTTGTTTCTGTTATCATTTATTTGTAAACACTTCAAAGAAGTTGAAGAGATGAGAAAGTCTAAATGAAGTTATTAAAAATCAGTATTGTGACAAAGCGGAGATTATCTGAATGATTTCCCATGAATATGGTGTATAGGTTTTGCCAAAGGTGTGTCAGTTCCTAGAACAAAACAGAACCAAGTAGAAAAGGTAGAGCAATACATAACACACGTAACCTTACTAAAAGCATCAGGAACGGAGTTGCTTAGCTTTGTTCAGTCAAAAAGCAGTTTATTCAGAGTAAGAGCAGGATTAAAAAGAATAGCTTTAGAAGCTAGAAAGAGGTAGGCTCTCTGGTTGCCAGGGACCATGCTGTGAGTAAGAAACAGCTGAGAGGAGGTCAGTGAGGCAGTCTGCATCTCCCTGTGTGGTGCCATTGCTTAGAAAAGGCAAAACTTGGAAGAAAGAGCAAATGTGTTTGGTGAACCTGAGATGTTCCTTTCTCTCTATTAAGGAAGTCAGCGGTGCTTTGATTGGAAAAGATTGTTTTTGAAAAAATCTGTCTCTCCAGTATAAGCTTCAGAGGCTGAAGGAGATTGAAGGTAGGAAGCCAAGTACAGCTTGCCTTGTTATGGTTGGAAAACAAAGGATGTGTTGCCTCATGCTTAGAGTAACCTGAAGGAAGTCACACTCACCTTCAGAGGAGGGGGTCTGAAGAGAGCATGACAGCACATGTAGCTGTGTCAAGCTAGGGGGAAACACTGCCCAAAGCAAAGGTTTGAGTGTCCTGCCATGCTACTACAGTGAAAATATTTATTCCCAGCTTGGACACTTACAAAATCTGACTAACACTCAGCCTTCTGATTAGTTCATAGAAAAAGTTGTGTGATCTGCTAGTTAGATCTGGAGACAGATGTTCCTGACTGCTGAGTCATATTTGCAGGCGTGTCGATCACCTGGATGAAGACATTTCATACTGCCTTGGTTTACCTGTAAGAGAAGACAGCTTGCTTTGCAGGCTGTGCTGGGGGGAAATGTGGTTCAGGAGGAGCACTCTGTGTGGCTGTGGTGCCATTGGTGCTTATCAAAGCTCCTCGTTGCACAGTAGTTCATGAAAAGGGTCCCTCATACTTCCCTCTAATGCTCCCAGGCTGTATTGTCTCTGAGGACTGTCCATGTTTGTCATCTCGGATTGGACTCTCTGTCATTATCCCTCTCCAACACACACTGTATTCATTTATCTCCACATCCATACCATGCTATGACTCTACTTTTTAGGAATAATAAAAAAAATTCAAAGCTGAAAATAGTTTTTGAAATGACTGGATGTTACAACTGCAAAATATTGCTGTATTTTATTGATAACATTGTTTCCATAATAAAAATATTTAACACGAAGGATGATGTCCTGTATGAGCTTCACATAAATATTTCCATTACATCTCTGATAGGGATCTGAAAAATTTCAGTATGCACATCCTGCAAATGTGAGTGTAATTGATACAAGGTATGTATCTTAATGTACATCTTGAGTAAACATAAAAAGACCATACCCTAATGGAAAACAGACTCTGTCTTACAATGTACAATCACGCTCTTACATCTAAACTGGACTTCGGGTTTAGAAAACAAATCCTAAATCAATCAATTGAAAGGACAGATCATAGTTCACATATTTGTAAAAAACTTTTGTTCTTTGCTGAAAAAGCTTGGGAAACTCCATCCAGCCCCAGTGGTGGAGGGGTGGGAAAGGAGGGACTGAGGTATCAGTTCAAACAATCTGAGGAAAACGTTGAATAAACATTGAAGACAACAGAATAGAAACCAGACGCCAAATATTCATTTGTGGGGTCTTCAAAGGGGACTTCGTGATTTATTTTAATTGTTGTTGAAAGAGAAAGATTAATTTGGGGATGAAAAATGTATGCAAATTCAGCTCTAGTTATTACTAAAAAAATATTTCCTACTCAAAGCAGAAGAAGGCAAAGCAATGAAACCTATACCATCAGCTCTTCTGTTCCCTAAGCTGGCTTTAAGCTAAGTTTGAGAAAGGCACAACTGGAGGAACTTCTTTGTTTGATTTGGTAGCTGAATAAAGACTGTGTGGCACTGCAGCTTTGTGAGGCAGTAAACCCAAGGG